TCTGAAGTATAATTTTTTATTGTTTTTATATTTTTCAATATATTTATTTCGTTTGTAAAATATAAAGAAATAATTTTTAACGATACAATAGCCACGATTATTATTTTTAAAAGTTTACGTTAGGCTTAACATCGACGAAAATTCAACGCGAAGCGACACTCAACGGAGAAAAATTTCAACACAGAATAGGTTAATATATTTTTTCGTGCATAATCGATTATCCGAAAAATAAGTTATCCGAACAACCCCAGTCCCCAATTGATTCGGATAAACGACGCTCTACTGTATCTATTATTTTTTATTTAAAGGAAATAATATATATACAGTAGAGCCTCAATTATCCGACCCCTCAGTTAACCGACCGTCCTAGTCGGCAAATTTCAAATGTCCGCTAGTGATGTGGCGCTACAATATTTGGCTATGTCTTGGCTACTTTAATATAATTTTTGTTAAATTTTTGCATGTTTTAGCTGGCAACACTGGCTCGACCATGAAAGGGAAGCCAGTATTTAAACGAGATTTAATTTTCTAATTATGAGTGATTGTTTGTTTTGTGAGCAATAAAATAATTTTAAAATAATTTTAACGATACAATAGCGACGATTATTATTTAAAAAAAATTTGTTAGGCTTAACATCTATGAAAATTCAACGCGAAGTAGGTTAACGATATACTAATATACTAATTACATTTAACTAATTAATAGCGATATACTAATATACTATAGTAGTAATGTATTTTTTCATTATTTTCGGTTATCTGATTTTTTCAGTTATCCGACCAACCCGAGTCCCAATTGAGTTGGATAATCGATGCTCTATTGTATATTAAATAAAAAAAGAAAATAATAAATAGGTTTTGATTATTAAATGTCATTATATCAGAAATGTTTTTTGACATTTACATGATATAAATAGTCCTTGACTTCTGGATATTTGATTTTTGGACAACTCACATTTTGCACATAATACTTTAATACCTTGAAATCACTTTTTTATGTTAAGTTCTGACTTATATACATTTTTAGCTGACAAACAAATATTTTGTGCTATCATTTGATGGTGCTTTCTGCCATCTTTAGTTTCAGTAACAGCAAAATTACTTATAGAAATTAATTTTTGTATGCTTTCTGTTTAAACTATAGTTTTAATGTTTTAAGTAATATTTTGTGTGTTGTGACATATTTACTATAAAAATGTAAAACTTTTCCATCTTAATATGAGATTTTATAGTTTTTATTTTGAGCTGTCTAGGAACAGAATTGTCATTATACGAGGGCTGTTCGGAAAGTTTGCGGCCTTGCCTATGTGTGGCGCTGCGATCAATTTAATTTTTGGCGGAAATAATTCAGCCATCTTTGCTAAAGATACGATACCAATTTCCGCTTGATTTGTCGTAAAGTTTTGCCACGACAGCTTAGCAGATAGTCAGTGTGCACATGCTTTGTCAAAAATGGAGAAGACGGAGACTCGTGCGGTCATAAAATACCTGACGAAAAAAGGGTTGACCCCATCTCAAATAAAAGCTGACATGGATGAAGTTTTAGGAGAGTCTGCTCCTTTGTACACCACTGTGAAAAAATGGACAGCCCTTTTTAAATCTGGCAGAGAAAGTGTGGAAGATGACCCTCGCAGCGGACGGCCGTCAACTGCTGTCACTGAAGAAAACATCGACAAAGTTTGCGATTTGGTATTAGCAGATCGCCGTTTGAAAACGCGTGAGATAGCTGAGACAACAGGCATCTCTGTCGACAGAGTGCACCACATCCTAACCGAAGATTTGGGTATGACGAAGGTCTCAGCAAGGTGGGTGCCGCATCTGCTGACCGCCGAGCAAAAACGTGTTCACACTTTGATGTCAAAGGAGTGTTTGGACTTCTACCAGAAAAACCCACAGGATTTCTTGCGTCGGTTTGTGACTACTGACGAAACGTGGATCCATTACTACACTCCTGAAACAAAAGAACAGTCGAAGCAATGGAAACACCACAGTTCGCCACCACCAAAGAAGGCAAAGACAGTTCCATCAGCGGGTAAAGTGATGGCCTCGGTTTTTTGGGATGCTAAAGGCATCATCTTTATTGACTACCTAGAAAGAGGAAAGACCATTAATGCTGTCTATTACTGTGAACTTTTGGAAAAACTGAAGAAAGAAATCGAAGAAAAGAGGCCACACTTGAAGAAGAAAAAAGTTCTGTTCCACCACGATAATGCACCTGCACATTCCGCCAGAATCACTGAACAAAAGATAAACGAACTTCGCTTCCAATTAGTTCCACATCCACCGTACTCACCTGATTTGGCCCCCAGTGACTTCCACCTTTTTCCAAACCTAAAAAAAATTCTTGGCTGGAAAGAGATTCCACTCAAATGACGAAGTCACCTCTGAAGTGAATGAGTATTTTGCACACCTTGACAAATCAACCTATTGTGATGGCATAAAAAAGCTAGAACGTCGCTGGAATAAGTGCATTGCTAACAGAGGAGATTACATTGAAAAATAAAAAAAGTTTTAACATTATTTTGTTTGTTTTTCTATGTGAGGCCGCGAACTTTCTGAACAGCCCTTGTAGTATGTCATTCTATTGTTTGACTTTCAGACATTCTACCTTTGCACACATTTTTAAGAAAACATCAAATACAAAAGTTGGGGACTGACTGTACAAAAATATATTTATTATTTTCTTGATGCTATCTAAAAGTATTTGAAATTTAAATTCTTGACAATATGTATTTTTATGGAGTTTTCTCATTATTACATATTTAAATTTTAATTTAAAAGTGCAAAAAATTTAATTATATAATAATAATAAATAATAGATACTACTTAAATCACACAATTTGATAAATTTAAGACTTAACATAATGGAATGTGTCTAAATGAGAAAGTCACAAGGAAAATTAATAGTTTTCTTTGTGAATTTACTCAGGATCAGTTTTTTAAAAGATTGTCAGCAGCTGAAGAGGGGACTTGACCCAAAATGCATTCTGCAATGACAATTCTATGTGATTAATTTTTCTGTACTCTTTTTTAGATACATTCTTGTATGATAAGTCCTAAATTTATCAAATTGTGTGATTTAAGAAATACAAAATTGTTAGGAAAACAAGCTTTGAGCACATAAATAATAGGGTACTTAGAGAATTATAATTTTTGATTTGATTTGTAATATATTTTAATTTTTTTTATATAAAAATTATATAAATTTTAAACTAAAAATTAACAAATAAAATTTCTAAAATGATAAAGTAGTCTTAATTCCAACAGACTTTTCTTGTAAGGTTAATGTTGGAATCTGGATACCACAGTCCTCCAGTCATACATCTGTTGGAACTACCATCATATAGTCATGATCATATTTACATAATAATAAACAATTGAAAATGTTAACTTGTCATTCATCATATTTCTTTATATAAAAATTGTGTAATTGTAGAACTAAAACTCAATTTTAATTTTTTATTGTTATGTAAATGTTATTTTTTATTTCAAAAGAAACAAGAATGCTTTAATTTAATAAATTATTTTGAAATAATTTTATATAAAATTAAATTTTCCATTATTTTGAAATCATATTCTAAATTTGGTATAGGTAATACAGATGAATCTGGTACTTCTGAGAATACAACTTTACTTGCAGAAGTTGTCTCACCAAATATAGAAAATGTTCGACCATTTAAATGTGAACTTTGCAGTGCTACATTTAATCGTCTTGGCAATTATACTCGTCATAAGAAAATCCATACAGTTCCTACAAAGGTATCATGCTTTTTTATTTGAGCAATTCTGATGTATTATTATCATTATTAATCTTATGATTAATTATATATTTGTACTAATTTTATTAAGTCAGTTTTATATAACTTAATTAAGTTTATCATAAATGAAATACATTAAGCAAAGATCTAGAAAGTAACAGAAGTAAGATACAGAATATTTATTAAATTTATAGATTCACTTCAGATAGACACTGCATTTCCTGGTTTAGAAATCAAGTAAACTTTTAATATGGTTCCCATCAGTTAATATCAACACATAAGAATTGCTTAAATAGTTTTATAATTTTGTAAAATCACTGATTAAATGTTTAAAAAATAAATACCATAAAAAGCTGCTGTCTAAATAAACAGTTACATTACAATGACCATTTCACACACATACACATGTACTCACTCAACTACTTCCAAACTTCCTTTTGTAGGCTACTAATTCAATTGCCTTTATGCCCTTATATTATACTATTTTATTATATTATTGTTGTCGGGATGGAAAAATCATCTGGCACTCAGTTTTCCCGCCTTTTTATGAACGACCGTTGTTGCCATAGAAACAGCGATCAGACCATTTTGAAGACTCGACCGCTCATTGGTTAAAAGACATCAGACCATCGGCGGACGTCTTATAGAGCTGGTAAATGCTGATTGGTGAAAGCCAATGCTGTTTCAATCCTATAAAAGCATCGGAGTTCTGGCGGGAAGTTCAGTTTTGCTTCGGACATAGGAAGTGAACTCACGCTGACCTGAGTTCGCCTAAGTGGTTTTAGAAGTTTGCCTCATCTTGTTGTATTGTTGTGGACTTTGAATTTGTACGTCGCAAGGTGCTTTTCCGACGGACCTGTTGCAGTGGATGATTACCTTGAACTTTGTTAATATCTAATGTTTGTAATTCTTATATGTGAACTTTAATTGTAACTGTACATACGTTTATTTTNATTTTGCTATTGTAGGAAAGTGGTCTGAACTATCAAGATTCGTAATTCGAAATTCCACACAATAATCCAAAAGTTGTTCAGAACAGATAGTGAAATCTATTGTCGAAGCACCCATATTAGTTAAACAAGTGTGTTCAGCAGGAATATCCTGTTGCATTCTACCATTCAGTAAAAATAATCTGTGTTCCTTTAGTAACTCGATAAGATATTTTCCCAATCTATTAGTTTGCTTATCTTTTGAAATACGATTATTAGTTATGCATTGATTGGTTCCTTTATATTTTGAGTCTGTTAATTCACCAATCCTTGCATTAAAATCTCCCATTATTAAGATGAGTAGAGAAATATGTATCCAGCTTTCTAATACTTTGAAACAATTTTTTAAATTATTTAAATCATCAGGCTGAATATATGCTTTAATAGGACTATTAGAGTGGTGTGCCAATTTCTGTAAAGGAGGAATTCTTATTCAGAAAAAATAAAGTTTTTATTTTTCACTTGTTTTTTTTCCCTGTAGGCTTTTCATTTCTTTTGTAGGCTTTTATAAGGATGAAGTATATTCAAAGCAATAGTAAAAATTTCTATTCCAAATGAATTTTGTTGAAACAGACTTCTTAAATAAAATTAGAATGAAATGGAAGTTGAATTGAACTGTAGCATCCCCTGATTTTGATAAATTAATTTTGTGTAAATTAATTTACTTTTAAAATACAGTAAATGCATTACATTATTTACAGTTCATGAAACTTTGAATGCGCAATGCATGATGTACCCAAAAAACAAAATAAAACAAGTTTCTAGATTATCTGAAATTTGGTTTATCCAAATGACTCCTGATTCCATCTAGTTCAGATAATCGACTTTCCACTGTATATATAGATGAAATGATTCATTGTGTGCTGTTATGAAAACTCAATCATTAGAAATATAATTATGAAGCTGTTCTTATAAATTAGATGTACAATATGTGTTTCTTAAATCTCTTAAATTGATCCTGAAGATTTAATTTTGTTTTTATAAGATGATCTTTAGGATTAATTGACTATATGTTTATGTCAATTGAGAATGAAAAGACAAAAATATTTTAATTAAATAAATGTTGTTTTAATTCTATAAAATGCTATTTTTGTGATACAATTTAATTTTTTTATAATTTTTAAGCCTTGTAATATTTTCTGTAATAAAATAGAAATGAGTGATTTTTTTTCAGACAGAACAAAATTCTCTAAGAAAAGAAACATTCAAACGTCTTAACAAATTGGATAAAAAGTTCTGCTTTATTTTTATTTACTCTGATAAAACAATTTATTTCCATAGATTATTCACATTTAATGGATTAGCAAGTGTGGCATAGATGATATGTTGGGCTGTTTTTAAAAAAAATTATCAATTATGATATATCAGATGATGCATTTAATGTGGTAAAAAACTAAAAAAATATAAGATACAAAAGATATGTCACATGGTTGCACAAATATTGAAAGTCTTATAATTTTAGGTTTTGTTTTTAGATCATCAGTATTATGATTAAAAAATTTAATCTTAAAATATGTTAAAGATTTTTACACAAAAATGGAACTTTCAATTAAAATTGATTCTATAATTATTGTGAAAATTTAATAGCTTTTTAAATTGTTTTATTGATACAATTTAGATAATATTAGTTATTTTTACTGATTTTATCGATAAAATCAATAAAAACAAAGCAATGTAATTGTTAGAATAATAATGAGGCAGTCCTTTAACTTATAATTAAACTTTAATAATAACCTAAGACTAATCTTATTCATCGATAACTTGGTGCGCAACTGAACAACGGTTTCTTCCTGCCCCGAGCTTTCTTATGCAGGGTGTTGCCAGTACATACATAGTTTGCGATATTCATACTTGCTCTAGTTTAGTATTTTCCAACAATAATGCAATTAAGTTAAACAATTCTTGATTTTGATAGTTAATTTTTTATAGAAAATACACCCATGTCCATAATTTAAGGAATTATGAGTATGCATATTTGACGCTGCTGGAAAGGAACGAAACACAAGTAGAAACGCTTTATGACAACTTCTGAAGAGAGTGCTGTAGGTGTGCAAATTTAACTAAAAAGAATCAGATAAATATCTGAAGACGAAGTCCTCCCAAAAATGGAACCACCATTTATTATCTTCATATTCTAGACTATACATTCTTGGCGAAAATTTACAAAAAATATAAAAAGAATCAGTATAAAAACATTTTCTGTCACTTTGGGCAATTGGAGTTGTAAGAGGTCATATTTGCATTACATGTGCAAACATTGTTATTGCCTTGTAACCACAAAAGACTATTTGTAGGCAGTAATTATGGCATAAAGAAATATATTAATGACATTTTGTGTGGCAGGATTATTGCAAGATTAAGGCTGTTCAAACTCAGAGTTAAGTGTCGTGGGAACTGAATGCAACAGTTTCAACCTGGCCAAGTTGTTTGAAGGCAATACACTGAAGGTTGCCCAAATGTCAGAATTGCACATCAGGACTGATATATGGTCATAATGCCCAATGCTTCTCCACCAGTGAAGCAAGTGAACTGCTTAGAGACCCCTCAGCAGCATCAGGTATCATCACATCCAGGCAAAGATTTACAGATGGCTACAGGATGTTGACCTATATGAAAGGCAGTCTGCAAAATACATTTCTCTAACTGCATAGCACATGCTGATCTGCAGAACATGATGAACACCTTGCATGGACCCCACAATAATAGGCCACTGCACTCTTTACTGTCTAGTCCTGTTACAGCCTAGCGACTGATTTTTGATGAGTGTACATCTGTAGGTCCTGGGGACATGTTAAAATCCTGTCCACATCGTCGTATGGCATTGTTCTTTAGGTAGAGGAATCTTTGTGTTGGGGTGATATCATGTTAGAGTCTTGTATGCTGCTGCATGTGTTTGAATGTGGTAATGTAACAAGCCAGATTTATAGAGATGTCATCTTGCAACAGCATGTGCAGATTTTCAGAGATTCATTTGGTCCTGGGTTCACTTTAATCAGGGATGCACAACCTTTTTTGAAGAAGGGACAAATTAGGATTAAGTTTATTGACTGGGGGCCGGACCTCCAAGTGATTAATGCGATGTCTGATGCAATTTGCGAGATTCTTTGTTGTATCGTCATGTGGTTAAGACTGATTGTTTGAAAACACTGTCTTCTCAGGACACATCTCACTTGCGATGATAAGACACTTTTTTATCATATCGCCATCTGTGAAAGGTTTCCCATTCTTGGCTATTAAAGCAGATATTTCTAGGCTGGCTTCAACAGCCGCATCCAATTCTCCAGATTGTTTCTTGAACACATTTTGTTGGCTGATTAGTGATTGTCGTAACGATTCGATTTTCCGTTTGCGTTCCGTACCTTGCAGAAGGAAATCCTTGTGTTGGCTTTCATGATGTCGCTTCAGGTTGAATTCTTTTGGCACTGCTATTGTTCCATTGCACAAAAGGCAAATAATGCTGTTGTTCTGTTGCACAAAACAGTACTTGTTAGTCCACACTTCCACTTCTTGAAACTGATGATTCTCGCGATTGACCTTGCGTTTAATGCCCGGCGCCATACTGTTCACTCTGCAAAACAATGTCTCATTGTGCCGAAAATTCTGAGGCCCGCAACAAATCATGTTTGAGATAAGGCAAGCTAGACTACCACGTGCTTTGTTCTGTATCCACTCTGACCAAAGACTAAAGAGGCGGGGACAGAAGACTATTACGCACACGTGGCCAGGCAGGTCTTAATTCGTTCGACCCCTGTCCGGGCGTCTCCACCATTTCTCAGAATTTGTGAGTCAGATCGTCAACATGCCAGGTGCAGGACACTAATCCATCATAAATGTGGTTACCATTCTTACCTAAATTATATTTATGGCCCGTCAGTTTTACCCCCGTGTTCAGAAATGAATCAAAAGTGATTAACACAGTGCAGTGGAAAATCTGAATATTTTAAATATAATTATTAAAATTGCGATATCTCGTTTCAAATTGGCACTAGAATCAATCTGTTTTTTTTTTTCT